ACCCGGTTGACCAAATGGTAAAGAGAAAGGCTAAGTCTGAGATAGTCCATTTACCAAAGGGTCCATATGTTTATTTTGCCAAAGGAAGGGGCGTTTATTGCAAAGCTGCCAAATTTACCTAAGGATGTTAAAGTCAATAAGTTTGACTCTACATCAGGTAGAGCCCATTATCTAACTCTGTTAAGTTTTATTCTGAGATCCTCATTACATGATGTGACTGGGTCACATGTTGATGTTTTAAGAATCAAAGAATAGAGAGAAATCTTAAAGGAAGTATATGCTGATTCTGATCGCGAAGGTGGATTTCGATCGCATCAGAATTTTGAGCAGTTGCTTAAGAAGTTATGATATATTGCGAAGGAATAGATAACAACAATTTTCCATGTGGATTGTAAGGATAAGTTTTTCCGCAAAGTTTTAAAATAAAAGAAAATTGTTTAATTTTATTTATTTGAAGTATCCTTACAATGGCATTTGTGGAAAATTGTTGCTTATATGATTCCACTGACAGCAATATTGGAAAATGGATTTGATTCTTTCATTTGTGGTAGTGTCTAAATTTACCAAATCAGGAAAGTTCTTCATCGCCCAAGTTTCAATTGGACCGAAACTTGGAATCATGCAAGTTGAATAGTATGATGAATGAGAACTTTCAAGCATTAGAAAATCAAGACTAATTACATGTTCACATGGATGTGTGAGTCAAGTGAAGGACTAAAGGGATCGAGTACACATTCTTGTGCACTGGTCATGTCCACCACAAAGCTCGTTAAGACTATTTGATTTAGTAAAGTTTAGTAAATATGGTTATACTTACAAGTTTAAGTATAATTCTGAAACATTGGAAAAGTCTCAATGTATGGCAGAACGAATGGGAAGAATCAAATTAGACAGAAAGATAAAAGTTTCTCAAATCTGAAAAGATGGGAGAGTACTTTAGTATCATGTTTGTGATCATCTTAATGATTTAGAAATCATATCACAATTACTCCTCTAAAGGTCATCTTCGTGCATTCTTATGACTAAGAAGAGGAGTCATGAATTGTTGAAATGGTTAGATCAGGAAGATGAGTCATACTTCGTTCCAAAACAATTCTTAGAGTCATACTCCAAGATTGTAACTTGAGTGACATATCTTAAAGAAAGGTTTAAAACACTTGTCAAATGTAAGAGTAAAAGTGTCCTACTCTTGTACATTTGAAATTGGTAAGTTGTGATGTTTTGGATAAAACAAAGACCAACTAAGGCCAATTGTGTGAAGTGTTTGTCTTGATAAAGAATCAGCACTATCTCTTGAATATTTGGCAAGATAGTCTTATATGTCAAGAGGATAGTGGGAGTCTTAAAGATCCTAAAAAGAATTTCAAGAACTAATCAAGAATAAAACCTGAGGTTCTTCACTAGCACACGACTTGAGGTTTATAACCTATCGTGTTGACATATTCTGTGCCCATTCCAGTTAAAGTTGGCTTTGCATAGGAGTTCTGAAAGTTCTCAATTGGTTGCATAACAACTTGGAAGCAATGGCAGGCCCTGTACTGCCAGGTGGCAAGAAGTTAAGATTGCATAAGTTCAGTCCGTATGAGTTTGGATTTGTCATTATCCTTGTCTTGTGACTATGGTTTTGACGATTCACATGGATAAGAACACATACACCATAAAATCTAAGGGTCATAAGGTTTCTCTCCGATTCATGAAAATGATGGTGAGGAAACACTTCCACCAAGTAGATTTGAAGCAGATGGCAAAAGGTCTAAACAATTGAGACTATGATTACGACATCCCTTTTCATAGTTCTGAAATTGTTTACACACATGCATGCTATCTAAGGAAAGGTGTATGATTTTGATAAAGTTTTATCAAAGCATCTCGTATAAGAAATCTGAACTTTGGTAAGAAAGTCAATAAAGTATTGATTTCTAGAAGTCCAACTGATTTCTGAGTACATGTCAAAGCTAGTGGGAGCATAAGTGTTATGCTAATAATCATCATGTTAGTGGGAGCATGATAATTATTGTTAGTGTTTCAAGTTAGCAATGTTAATTATAGAAAACAAAAGTTTCAATTCGTGAGGCTGCAGAGATTGAAAAAGTTGTTTTGCTATAATTAAGGGAGAGGATATACTTCATTTCAGTTCTAAAGGCTTAGATTAAGACCTTAATCATCTTTAGTCAAGAATATATATATGAATTTCATGTTGGATTGGTTCAACTTAAGGAAATTCTATATATTGCGTTCTCAAAATTCGATTATGATTACGGCATCCCTCTTCATAGTCAAATTTTGAAAACATGGCAAATAAAAATATTGTAGCAAAAGACTGGTCTAGAATCATGTCTTTATGTGAGACATCATGAATCGTGTACCATTTGCTTTGGGTACAGGATCGATTGCATGTGCTATAATATTTGTCATTTATAAATTTTTCCAAATGCCCAGAGGCATTAAGAAGGGAAAAGGTCTAGAATTGGATATGACTAAAATGATTAAGCAATTGTCGAGGACAATCTGAGGTTTACCAAAGATTGGTTGCTCAGGGACAGTTGGAAGTATAGTGCTAATTTTGGAAGGACCATATTGACATATTCTGAAAAGATGCATCTCTTATTCAGAAGTGATAGTCAAAATGAGAATATGGAGTTGTCTCCATAGGTGGAAGTTATCTGTGTAAGATTAGAAAACTTAATGCAAGAAGCATGTCCAAAGCAATGTACTTTGAATATGAGACTTAGTTTCCATGGAGTTGATCTCCATTGGAATACCTTATAATGACTGCTGACAAGTCTTTGTGAATTTGTACATATTCATTACCGGAGGGTCAGTGCATATAAGTTTAAAATCTAAACAGATTTCGATAAATGATAGGAATTTGAAATTCTCACATTTTTCGATAAGGATTTGGGAGTGTGAAATTAGAATCATTGAAATTATGTTCAATTGGTTTATTTCACAAAGTAAGGATCATAGACAACATAGAGTGCATACTTGGTGTATGGCAAAGCTATTGTTTAAGAAAAACATAGTGTACATGCTTAGAGCATGGGACAACTAGTGTTTTTAATTCAAGTATAAAGTTGATAAAACCGAAACAATGAATAATGAGTAATCAGTATGGTGATAAATAAAAGTGTTTATTTATATTCATAGGGTTTGATACCATATTTGATTAATTTATTCTTGTGTTTCACTTTGCATGTTTTGACTTCCAGAATAACTAAGTCGCTCTTCCTGAATGATTAAGTTATTCAAACCATCCACAGTCGGTCATATGTTGGAAGTAGATATGAATCAAGACTGTCATGGGTTGGTTTGTAGAGGTCCAAGTTGGTGGACAAAGTGGTGCTACAACACTCATGAGTGCTCAAAAGTTCTGAGTATTGGATTCAACCCACACTCATTTGAATCACTTCATGGATTTTATCACGAGTGATCATGAGACGATAATATCTTATATTCTTCAAACCTAGAGATATGAGTTGTTACTATGAGTTGGTTATACATTGATTGCACGAAAACGCATTTGGTAACTCGATGTTATAAAACGTGCCTTTGTGTATGATTCAACAAGTAGTAGAACAAGCCATATGAGTCGAAGTTTATCCATTCCTTTTACCTTCGGGATAAAAGCGATATATGTGGGCCCCTCGATGATTTAGCGATGACACATGTGAGTGCTTGGCCAAGCCAGGACTGATTTGATTTGTTCAATCAGTCAGTCATCATAAATCGAAAATCGGGAAACAACAAATGGACAGAGAGAATGATTATAATCCATGTCTCAATCCATATGATATCTAGAATGGAGGAATATATGATCCATTATCTAATGGACAAGTCATTGACAAGGTCAGAGTTCGACAGCGGCTTTAAGAGCTACGATTGCCAGTTAGGTTTTGAAGTCATACTCAATAATAGTTTTAGACTTATCCAAGTAGGAGACTGTTGGATTAATGTCTAAGTCCATAACTATATTTGGTATGTACTTGACCAGACCCGACATGGTCCATTTGGGTTGCACTTCACCGACACAATTTATATGGATAGTCTTTTGAGAATAGTATATTTATGATTTATATTAATATATTATAAGTTCTAATATATTAATATGGAATCATATTATTTAATTAGTATTGATCAAGAATTAATTTAGAATTAATTAAGTGATCAAAAAGAACTAATTAAATATGGACTCTTATATATATGGAATGGGCCAAGTTCATTTAGGTTGGGCTAAGCTTTCATGGATGGTCCATGGAGCTTTTAACCCATGGATCCTATGTAAATGAAAGGTCATGGGTATTAGGGTTTACATGGATGTAACCCTAATCCTCCATAATATATAAAGGGGTCCTTGGCTCACAAAATTGGCACAAGTGGGTGAAAATAAGAGTGGGCCGATTTTAGTGTGCATACATATTCTCTCAAGTTCTTCCAAGGTGTTTTGGTGATTTGTGATTCCATTTGAGGCTTCCACACTATTGGGGCTAAGTTCTTAAAACTTGAAGACATCAAGCTACATCAAAAGGTATGTCATCTAACTAGAACTTTGTAGTATAGGTGCTTCATAATATGCTAGTTAGGATGAAACCTTGGAATAGTTAATATTTGCATGTATAATAGAGAAAAAACATAGATCCAAGGTTTATAGGGTTGCATGTACACCATAGGAGTGTTAGAATGCTCAAAACCCAACAATTATTTGCCCTGACAACGCGATATCGAAAATAATGCAGCATATTTTCGAAAAGTTCACTTTTCGTTATACTGAGCACTTGAATAATTTTCACCAATGACCAAACCTCTTCTTGTTCCTTCCCCAACACTGCATGGAACCTCAGCTTCATGTGAGAAAAATCATCCTTGTTCTTGAATCTATCCACAACCTTATATTGAGCAGTGAGAAACATCATCTCATTGATGAGAAAATCAAGTTGATTCATATCAGAGTTCTCAATTGCATAACTCTTCCTTGACTTTTTCTCGAATTCATACATTTCGTTTTATGCAACTCTGGCTTCAATATTTTCATAACTGTGCAATCTCGTTGGATCACCTTTGTTCATTCTAGGTGGATCAGAAGCACGAAGCATCAAAATACCTTGAATATGACTTTGCTTCTCCATCTCTGCTTCAATTTCTGCATTTCTTTCTTCTTTCATCTTTTCAACAAGAAATTGTTTTCCCTCTGTCTGAAGTTGTTGTAGTTTCCTTAGGTTTCGAACTACTTCCCCTTCACCAGTTGACCCAATTACAATGCCTTTTGTGATTGGCCTTGTAGTAACTGTAGTTGCTATTACAGGTTCAGCCTTCGAAAATATAGGTTTTGTTGTAGGAATTTGAGTCTTGAAAACTTTACCCACAACCTTTGTTTCTTCATTCGTTTTCTCACAAACATTTGCTCCTTTACCAACACCTTCCTTTTCTCCCCCTTGCACCCCTGTGATAACAGGCGAGGCATTTGTTGGTAAGATAGTAACAAACTGAGACAATGGAGCTAGCATCTTTTGAATTGTAGCCTCGAAGTAACGAAACTTCTGATCAAGAAACTCAGGAGTAAAGATTGAGGATGAGCTAGACTTCGAAACAATTCCCTTCAATTCTTCAAGCAGAGTAGTAAGTTTTCCAAAACTTGTTACAGCAGCAGTTGCTTTCTCATCAAACTTATGATCAAAAGATTGATGGGTTTTAACAAACGTAGTAACACCATCCGCTATAATATCAACTTTCTCAAGAAGAGAAGAATATTTGTTATCCAACTCACGAAGATCTTTGGATACATCAACCTTCAGTTCTTCAAGCTTGTGATTTACATTCTCACGAACCATTTTCACATCTTGCACAAAAAGAACATGACGTTCTTTGGCAACACGTTGCAAGTCCTTGAGCGCATCATTAAAAGTCGAAGATGCATATTTGACTCATAATTCGGTATTTTGATTAATAGAAACAAGCTTTTCAAAAAGACGAGATTCAGAAGCATTTATCAACTTCTCCAATTTCTTGAATAACCGAACCTCCTGAGCTTTAAGCATCACATCAACTTCAATTCTTGAAACAGAATTCTTACCCCCTGCATCTGCTTGGGATTGAAGTAGTGAATTGAGCTTTTTGTTTAGAATCTTGAACTGCTTCCCGGACATCAGCATATGATCTGGGATATCTTATTCTTATGGATCAAATTCCAAATCAGCAAATGATCCTCCAAACCCTCCATCATCAGTATCATCATCATTAAGAGGTTTACGTGGGTCAGTAGATTGGGATGAAAAGAGAGAAGTAATGGGATGATTGATGACCATATCAAAAGTAGGAGAATGAGTGGTTGTGGAAATAGTGGTGATAATTGGTGGTAACGAAGTATTGGTTTGATTAGTGGAAGGTTCAAGAATACCTTGAGTAGCAACTGGATGTTCATTGTTCGAAACTCCTTCAACCATGTTGACATTCACATCCGTATCAGGATACGTGTGTGGAAATGCCTGAGGTTCAAACCTCCTCATAAAAAGACTCAGTTAACGAAACCTCGGGTGGTATGACCGAAGTCTGCATAGGAGTCGATACTTGTGTTGATTCACCAAAAATAATAGATGTGTCCACTATCGAAGTTTCCACAGAGCTACTTAAAATTCTTATCATTTCGAAAGTTGACTTGGCAAGTGATTTTTGTTGAGGTGAAAGATTACCTATTGGAGATTCAGGAACAATTTCTTCTTCTTCATCTTCCTGAAGGATCAACTTTCGCTTCTTTGGCTTCTTAGTCTTATGGATATATGCATTGCAACATCCTCAGCCCTATGCTTCTTCGATGATGGTGACACTGGCATAGGAACTTCACGAAGAACAACGCCTTTCCGAGTGACATGGGGCTTACGAACCATTGATGGTGAGAAACTAGATGACCTCTCAGGAGATTGTCTGGATCTATGAGACATCTTTTTGACACGCTTTAATACACCAGACTTTGTGGGAATAAGCTGCTTGGTAGAATCAGGTTGTGTAGTCTCCTGAGATTTTTCAGATTTCTTCGAAACTTTCACTACCTCTGCAGGCTGTTTCTTTGGTGACTTAGAAACAGTTGTTTCTTTATCATTTTTCTTAGGAATTGAGACATCAACGGTCTTTGACTTCCGAGATTTCTTCGAAGAACCTTCATCATGTTTTGGCAACAAAATACCAATTCCATCATTTGTGTTGATTGTAAGTAAATAAGCCTCCAACACAGGATTCGAAGGGTCAACCTTCTTGAGCATCCCATCAGGAATCCTAGCAACTGTTGGAAAAATATCCATATCATCTTCAATCGCCTTGGGATAATGATACTTCAAGAATTCAGCTTTAGGTTCATCAGCAGACACCAAAATACTTTCTTTTTCATAGGCAAATTGGAGAATTAGACTCTAATGCCTTGCACATGAAATTCCATCGACCACATTCGTATTTTCAATGCTCTTCAAGAATTCTTTCCACATCTGAGTTGCATAGTCAGCAGGTATATCATAGTAAATACATGCAACCATAGCATACACCTCCATACGCCCTTTATCTAAACCAACATTTCGACCTGTAAGACATCGAACGTAAATCCCAAAAAGAAAATTCCATAAACTTGGAAGGCCAGACTTCTTGATTTCACTGATCTTTACAAGTGTAGGTTGATAACCCATCTCATTGAACATGTGTAACACCTGTTCATTAGTGACTTGGTAGAAAGGTGGAGAATTACGGATTTGAAGAATTTTGACAAATAACTTCTTGGTAAGACGAAACTTCTTCTCATTGATTAAATTGAAAGTCACAGTATCCATCGTCTTGTTGTAGGATGCAATAGAACCCTCCATTGATAACCAGGACATAGGTACGACAAATGCACTGAACACTGCAGTCGATAAAACAGAATGTTGTAAAGCCACAATTAGCATCTTGAGTTCTTCAGGGTACACAGTAACATCACCATCCACTTGATAATTGTTACATTGAATCTTCATGATGGGTTGTTGAGAAGATGCATCTTTAGTTGTGTTTGATTGAAGAGTGGCCATGATTAGGGTTTGCTTTGAGAATGATGAAGAATCAAGAGAGAAATAGAACGCAGATCGTTTGGAGATTTTTTAGTACGCGTAAATTTCGAATGATGATCCAATTGCCCTTTATATATGTATCCCCTTTTGAATTTCAAATCGTTATCATTAATGATCTTGACACGTGGCCATTGAAAGTTGCACCAGTAACCATCATATACTCCATGTCAGAAAAAGTATAGGACACGATCTCTGAGAAATAAGCACAGTAATCAAACCATCACATCAAAAGTCTCTTCGTGAGTACGTGTGGATAAGGATAAAACCTTCGGAATATAGGTTGAGCTCTTTCGTTTTAGGGTTTGAAAACGAAGTCATGTGCCAGACTGTCGAAATCATCAGCCTGAGTTGGTAATACTCAGAACCTCAAGGATTTCGTGAGTGCAGTGTGTCAAAGAAAAATATAAGAATCAAGAAAACAAAATTTTGGTTCTGTGATGTTGAAAAAATTATTTCGACATAAAGGCAGAGAAATCCCAGGCAAATATTACTTCGCTTTTCATCAAGAGAGATGACTAGCAGCTTGTGTGTTTTTCCCGTGAATTACAATCGAATACTTGTAGAGAAGTATCGAAGGGCCTCTTTTTAACAAGCTTCTTGGGTGGTTTGTGATTTCGTTACATATCAGCACTTAACATAAATGTGAGTAATTGTAACAGAAATTACTTGTATGACCAGTGTAGTCAGTGACAAGTAAGCTTTGGAAGAAATATATGAAGTGACATAGAATTCAAATGAAACTCACACGGAAATCATATTCAAGAAAAAAATGTTTGCTGGATCCTGTTGGTTAACAAACATCATGGGATTCGAACATTTGATCAAGATCACTGAAAAGAATTGAATATGATTTGGAGTTTCGAAAGTTGGTACTGAAACAAATGTTTCGTTAAATCTGGAACAAAGTTCCCCGTCAATTCCTTAAATAAGTTGGACATTTTGGGTTTCACTTTCATCACAGTCTCATGATGTTAGATCATTAACACCGAAATTTGATATGTCTAAATCCTGATTGGTTTGACCAGAGATCTCTTGGACATATGTCATTGTGTGTGAAAGTGTAAGAACTTTGTGATGAAAAAGATTGGTTAAAGAATTTCGAAAGTACCACTGCTTTTTGATGGACTCAGCAGATTACTCTAAACTCATTTGAGTAGAGTATGGTAGCTCATGGACTAATGTGAATATATCCTGATTGGGAAGAAATTTTCATGATAAAAATTTCATTAAGGCTTCAAAAACACACATTGAGTCAGAAGAGGCTTGGGTCGACATGCTGCAGGATGCTTCTAGGGACAACCTAACTAGTACATAAGATGATGAAAATGTACCTTCCCTTGAAACAGCAAGCTTGTTACCTCATAAAAATTGTTCACCCTCTTCTTCATGTTCCAAGCTTTTCTACAAAACAAAACAAACAAAAAGAAAATATTTTTGAATTTTTGATTTTAGCAACAATAACAAACAAAACAAAACAAATATTTTTGTAATATTTCAAAAACAAAAAATATTTTTTGGTGTTTTTTATTTTTCGAAAAGAAAACAACTTAACAATCTAACGAAAAGTCTGTTCCAGAATAACAAGAAGTTGTGTGATAAACTTTTCGAAAAATTTTAAGAGTGATTCTAACGAAAACTATTGTTCCTGATGTTGATGTTGAAATCGAAGTAACAAAAAATTTTCTTTTAAAGTAACAAAAAGATTTGCACCTCTGATTTTTGTAACAAAGTAACAAAAAATTTTCTACAAATCGAATTGCACTTGATGTTGAAATCGAAGCATGTCGAAGCGCTGATTGTGAACAGTAACCACTGAACACTTAACGAGATTCTTTTAAAGATCATTCATCACCTCTGATTCGACATTGTTGCAATTTGTTTCTTTTCATTCTTTCGAAATTGTTCCTGGAACTGAATTTCCTGCTATCATTCCAAGTCCCCCCAAAATTCTCACGAATGATTTTTCATCTAATGGTTTTGTGAAAATATCAGCCAGTTGATCAGTTGTTTTCACAAAGTGATCTTCAATGTTTCCATCTTCCACATGATCTTTTATAAAATGATAACGAAGAACAATATGCTTGGTTTTCGAATGTTGAACAGGGTTGTGACAAATGCGTATTGCACTTTGTGAATCACAATACAACGGAATTTTCTTCATGTTGATTGCATAATTACACAGTTGACTTTGAATCCATATGATTTGTGAAGTGCAAGCTGCAGCAGCAACATACTCAGCTTCTGTTGTGGAAATCGAAACATATGTTTGCTTTTTCGACTGTCAGCTTACTAACTTCCCATCCTCAGCATTGTGCTTGTATCTGAAAAAGCCTAAATAATACCTAATCGAAATTGAGCCTTTGAGATAACGAAAAATATTCTTGATAGCAGTGAGATGTGGTTCTTGAGGATTTGATTGATACCTCATTCTTTGCACGAAGTTGAGCTCTCGTTAACACACCATCTTGTGGATTTCCAAGAACTTGTTCCTTTGGATCATTTCTTGTCCATTTATCTAATGGTGGATATGCTGGATCAAAATCCAATGGTGCATCTTCATACAATTTGTCATTTTCAGATCCTGCAACAGAAACATTGTCATTTGAATCATGAAAATTTTCATTATGATCAATATTCGACATTATTGAATCATTTTGCTCCCCCTCAATAGGATGCTCCCCCTCAACATCATTATCCAATCTCCTATACTCCCCCTCGAAAGAATGCTTCCCCTCAACCTGAGTTGT